ACAGAATAGCGATGGAAATTTTCACCGCTTAATAGCGTAAACACACATCCAAAGAGAACAGACTTAACTATACTTCAAGACATGACCCTTGGCCATTTCCTTTTATAATAAACAGACAATTACAATGGCAAAGGTCGCTTGCTTGACCAACAGGGTACTCAAAGTGAGAAATTTGAAAGATGTTTTGATCATCTTTCTGAGCTACTTTTTAACACTTTTCCTACCGCCAGCTGCTCGCGAGCCGTGGCCTCGCTGGACCGAGAGCAGCAAAATACGGTTCAAGTGGCTAATGAAAAGACACGAAATTCTCGGCCGATCCACATTATCGAAATAATAGATAGGTAACTTACCTGTGTGGGTTTGAATGATGCCGTAGTTGTACTTTTTTATGACCTTTCAAAGCTGGAAAATTGTTGATTTCATATATACAACACCTTCGATATTGCATATAATCATTTTTAGAAACCGTTAACTAATATCTTCTTCTTCTTCTCTTGACATTTTCCTTTGGTGGGGTACGGGCGTAAAAATATGTTATGGAAAAGCCCTGAACCATTGGTGGATTTTGGCCTGGTAGGAAAAGAGTTAATTCCTGTTGCTTATCTTTTTCAAATGGCAATATCTCACAGACTATCAAATATTTTCAAATTCTGTAAACGATAATAGATCATGTTAACAAATTGCAAGTGAAATATTATGCCGATTGGAGTTGATTTAAATGGGGGGTTTTCTTCAGATTTTACAAAAACACCAAAAACCTCAAGGAACAGTCACCAGAGCGAGTCCTTGCCCAGGGCTAAGTGAGACAACATTTGAACTTACACTTACAAGGCACAACTATGCGATAAAAATGTCCTATTGGATATTTTGACTTTCTAAGTGGCATAAAACCTTCTATGTGGCATTTGATCTTGCTATACGTGGCATTTCTATATATAGCTTATCCAAAAAGAAAAAAAAAATTAAAACCCATAATATGACAACCACTGTATTTATCATTCCCTGATGAAACAGTGAATGCCACATTTTTTTGTCAATTATCCTTTTGCATATTCTGATCGTGCTTGGTCGGATACATTTCCCCAGTAGTAACACTGTTTCTCAATTCTCTCTACTCAAACATGTACCATAAAGTTCTGGCTATTAATCCCACCTGTATAAGCTTCACCCACAATTTTTTTTCCAATCTTAATACTTTTCACAGATGTGTCTACCCCCCCGGGCAAGATCAGTCGTAAGACGCAGTGTGCTATTATCAGGTACAAGGCTCGAAAGGGTTGAGAAAGGGCTTCTTCGGAGTGAATGGATGAACCCAATACAACACTCATCACTCACAGCCATCACGTGGATATTCTGTCCTGGGCACTCTGGAGTGAAAGTGAAAGGCAATGAGGAGGCTGATAGTAGTGATAGGCTGGCAGGCAGTGCCGTGGTTGATGGTGAGGTGAAATTTGACAAAGGAGAAGTGTTGAAGACCCTGGAGAAAAAGTTGCGGGATGAAGAAGACAGGGAAACAGCAGAACACCACGCAATCATTAGGATGCAGGAAATGGGGATAGAAAGGGGAGAAGGAAGAAAGGAACGATTATCTGGAAAGGAAAGACGTCGCCATAATTTTTTTTAAATCAGACAGCCACCGGAACAATCAGTATGTATACCTTGCGGGCTTTGATGCTGGGGGGAACTGAGCACTTATGAACCTGTCCGGTGTGCAATGACGTTGTTGCCCAGGACAGGTAATACAGTGACAGGCTAGAAAGGCAAAAAAGCGACTTCCCGTGGAATTTTTGTTGGTTCTTTTTATCTATTGAAATTGAAAGTTTGATATATTCTGCGTCATTTAAGATAAAAATAAACACCTTTTATCAACTATAAATATTTTATTCTTATTTATTTTGGAGGTGTGTGTGGTTTGTTATGAACTTGGGTGACGAGATAAAGGAAATTGGACATCACTGGTGTGTAGTGGTGAGATTATTTTTAGAACCATTACATCGTGGCCACCTTTGCTTCAACGTTCTTTATTCGCAACTATTTTTAGATCCTGACCTCTTTTCAAGAAGGAATAGTCTAAAATGTAAACAACGTGTTGTCACTATGCACAACTGAGGGCTCTGGTCGGTTAAATGGGATAAGAACGGTAACTTCTAGCTCACTTCAAGCTTGTTTATGTAAACAGCTGACTGCGTGGGCGTGCTCTGCTTGCTGTTATGGTCTGTTGATCTTTCAGTTTTACACTTGGATAGACATAAAAAGTTTGTTTTTATTGTGTTTTAGCGCTTTTAAAAGATTAATTACCCTTCCTCCAAAGCGGACTCCAAGGCGGTTTATGTGCACGTGTGTGTGTGTGTGTCTGTGTGTGTGTGTGTGTATGTCGGAGTGCTTGTATGTGTGTGTGTATGTGTGAGTGTTTGTATGTGTGTGTGTGTGTGTGTGCTCTTATGTGCTTATGTTTATAGTGCTATTGCAAACGTATAATTAGGTAGCGTAAACACGGCACGTAAGCCGACTCACGGTCTTCCGAGGATGTGGTTTCGGTGAAATGGGGGTAATTCAGATCGCTGTTTCTTTGTTCTTTTGCTATAAAACACCAAATGCTGTACACTTTGAAAAAGTTCAGATTTTCTTCGTTACACTAGTGTAAGTTGTTTGTATATCCGAGTATTTGGAGCTGGAGAATCGCCGAGAAAAGGGAAGCCCCTCACGGTAGGAATGGCGTCAGTGGCCTAGTGGTTAGGCTACAGGACTCGTAATCATGAGGTTGCGCGATCAGGGTTCCGGCCGCAGGCCCGACGTTGTGTCCTAAGGAAAGGCACTTTACACAAATGTTCCTCAATTCACCCAGGTGGCAATGGGTACCGGCATAGACAGCGGAAGATCTTGTTAATATGTTAATGTTTTGGCGTCTACAAATGGCAGCTTGCACTGTATTGTTCCCGGGAAGTTGGGGTTGTTTCAGAATGCTCTCGGGTCTGTTGGGGTAATAGTATAGATTGTGAAGCGAATAGAGCTTGCTGTTGAGTGGGGTTTGCGCTATACAAATGCTATCTATTATCATCAATGCGAGGTCGGCCCGTTCAAAATTGACACCCATGCAATCGAATGCTTTGCAGAAAGATTGATTATTAAAAACCGTCTTTTCATTGGCAGAGAACTATACATCTTTGAGCGTGGTTTCCTGTGATATATTTTTGGCATTTGGATAGAAAACTTTTTTTTTAAAGCGTGTAAGTTTTCGAAAATCATTTTTAACACGAAAAGTGTAAAATACCGTCTAAAAAAGGTACCAATAGAAAGAACAGTTCTTTTTCTATTAGAATCAAGTCATCGGCTTGGAATTATTTTGCGTGAATCCTTCCGTGAAACTACAGGGAGCACTTAGTATACTATACAATATCGAATCGATTCGCTAGCAGCGAGGGCTGGTGCGGCGCCGGCCAGATCAACGCTCAGTGTTCTTATTGAAATAACGAATTGTATCATTCTCTATTAAAAAATCACAAGGACAATTTTAGAATTTACTATTTTTAAAAATCCTCAAAGTCAAAGTAGCAATATCTTCCAAGTATCACAGTTCCCATGACAATCTTTCACACGATGTTGCACCATGTACAAGTAATATGATGCTGCGAGTTTTAAATGCTCATCGAAGTCACATAACCTGTGCATCTCTGAGCGTTGTAAACCTTTTCGTGGGCTATGCATGCAGATGCCTGTTTGCATGCATGAACTTAGCTGTGTATCTTGTACGCCTACATAAGCTTAGTTTAGTTTTAGTAAGAGTTTTACGGCACTTGCAATATGAATAGATCTTAAAGTACTTACACCTGCCAAAAATGTGTTGTTTTACAAGAGAGTAACATACACATGTACAACAAAAAGAATGTGAGATAAGAACCACAGATAGTTGATAGGAAAGACAGAGCAAACCACACCAGAGAGCTCACCAACCACCCACTTGTTAATAAGCACGTATATTTGTGGATGTGCATCTAGCAGAAATATTTGGATATGAACGAGGGCTCTTGTGGTCTAGAAGTGCCCCCCCCCCCCACACACATATTCAACAGGTCCCAGGTTCGAAACCTTACAGTGACGGAAAATGTTCTTCTCTAAAACTTTCCCCTTTGACCTCCTTTCCCGTTCTCTAACCATATTCTGTCATCTGCTTTCATCTCTGCTTTCTGCCCCCTCCCCCCCCCCTCGCCTTTGCCCTCTCCTCTGGGCTCAAAAACTTTTTCTGCAGCCTTTCAACTGATACTCCTTGGATCCTTCTTACTACTGTCTTTCAGCCACACCCCTGATCTTATGGTAGGGAAGATGTAACACATGGCCTTCTCAGAAAAGGGTGAAAAATCTTGACAGTCTCGTGTGCAAATTGAGCGCGTTAAAGATTCCTTGGGTGCCCTAAACTCAATTCGGCTTCGGCCACCACTGGGGCAAAATTCAAAATTCCTACCAAACTGAAAATTTGTGTGTGTTCCCGTGTGCTCATATGACTTTATGCATTTCCGCGCGATGTAAAACACTTACCAAAACAAAAGAATGTGAACATGAGGAAAATAAACAACCAGAGAGAGAGAGAGAGAGAGAGAGAGAGAGAGAGAGAGGAGAGAGAGAGGAGAGAGAGAGAGAGAGAGAGAGAGAGAGAGAGAGAGAGAGAGAGAGAGAGAACAAAAGAAAGAAAGAAAAAAGAAAGAAAGAGAGAGAACTATTCCTGAACAATAGGCCTACGGGGATGGATTTGTCCATTAAGGTTCATACTTCTGAACAAAAACACGCCCACACACAAAATACATTCTTTTCCAATAGGCAATGCTTTCACAAATAAAACAAAAACTGTAACGGTGCACAACACATTCACTATCACTCTGTCAAAAAAACACACATCGCTAACATATATCAAATAAGCATATATATGACAAAAAAAACACGCATGGGTACACCTGCATCCACATACAAAAGAACATAGGAACATATTATCGACCCCAACACCTTACCTCTGCAGTCACAGCATGTAGAAGACCGTTATAGGAGACATTGGCATTGAATCTGAAGACAGCCTGATCAAACGTCATTCCAGCTGAAAAAAACATAATTGTTTCATTACACAGTGGAATCTGGCACTCTTAAAATTTGGGGGCATATACGTGAGGCATCGTGATGAAATCAGGCGCTCATCAAAATAATGAAATCATAGCAATCGGCATTTTTTCGTACCGATGGGTAATTTTTTTCCAGTTTTCTTTTTATGACTCAACACCTTTAATATCCATTTAAAAACACATTTTTGTTAGCATTTTACTGAAAAACATTGATTAAAGACACAAAAAAGTAAATTTTCAGTTTCCAAGGACTCTCGGGCTATGGAAGTTAACAAACTTTGGCAGCCATTTTTTCAGTAATTTTACGTCTGAAACCAGGCAACCCTGACCTCCTTCAATCGCAAATATTTCGATTTGTATTCAGCATAAATGGATAGTTTTTTCACCAAACGGACGGCAAATGAACAGGCTTTAAGATGATATGAATAACCCAATATGCCCAAAAAGTGACAAGTGCCCAATTCCACCACGTTGTGACACGTAGCCTATATATATATAGAGAGAGAGCTATTGGTATCATCTTATAGTGTGTTCAGGGGGCTCTCATGGCCTAGAGGTTAAGGTGCTCGCCTCTCATTCAAAGGTCGTGGGTTCAAATCGGGGCAGTAACTGAAAAATTTTCTGTTTTAAAATTGTCTCCTTTCACCTTCTTTCCTGCTCTCTAACAATTTTCTGTAGTCTACTTTCGTCTCCACTTTCAGCCCCCACCTTCTCATCTCCTTAGCCCCCTCCTCTGGGCTCCTGACTCTTTCTGCAGTCTTTCTACTGCTACTCCTTGGCTCCTTCTTACTGCTGCCTTTCAGCCACACCCCTGATCTTCTGGTAGGCAAGATCTACACATAGCCTTCTCGGACACGAGCGAAAAATTTCGAAGGTCCTGAGAGTAAGTTGAAGATCCATTGGTGGTCTACAATCGATAAGAATAGGCTTCGGCTGCCACCCAGGCAAAATTCAAAATTTCCTACCATCTGAAAATGTTTAATGTGTCACGCGTGCTCATATGACCTTATGCAGTTACAAGCGCCATAAAACACTCCCCCCCCCCCCCCCCCTTCCAAAAAAAAAAAATAGTGTGTTCATTTGTCTTGCTTTTAGTGAAAAAAAGTACCCATCTATCTTGCATAAAAGTCGAGATATTTGCCTATGAAGGAGGTGGTGGTCGACTCATGTCAGAAGAAAAATAAGCCAAAGTTTGGTGAATTCCACAGCTTGAGAGCATCAGAAAACAGCAAATTTACACTTTTTATTGTGTCTTTGATCAACATTTTTCAGGAAAACCCACACGGAAATGTGTTTTAAATGGATGTAAAAGGTTTTGAGCAAAAAAAAAAAAAAATTCTAAATAAATTGCCAGGCGTTCGGAAAAATGCCAGTTTCCTTGAATTCATTATTTTCAAGAGCGCTTCACTTTTAAAAATTTGTTTAGTATATTTTTTTTTTTTGGGGGGGGGGGGGGGGGATATAGAGGTTTTACGGCGCTCGCAACTGCAGGTTGACGATATAATGTTTGTTTTAGTAAAAGTTTTACGGCATTTGCAAACACAATTAAGTCATATAAAAACCGAAGATTAGAGGTGCCACAAGAGAGTAGCAAACACAAAAAGAAGGAGAGATAAGGATGATAGATGTTTGATAGGGAAAATGGAGCAAACCAAACCAGTGCACCCGCCTATCATCCACTAAAGATGTTTGTTGTTTGTTTTAGTTGGGGTTTTACGGCGCTGGCAACAGCATACGGTTATATGAGCGCCAAGGGGTGGATGTCAACAGAGAAGTCCTTACAGGGAACTGGGCTTACTCTGCTCATCTCTCTAGCTTCAACAGCACAAAGTCTACTTCAGCTATCATTCAAGGCACCCAGGAAATAGCGGGTCACAAGAGTGTGACAAACATACAAAACAAGTAGAGGAAAATTACTATTGGGCTACTGTCCCTACCACAAAAATCACCTTGACCCGCCGTTACTAATCGCAACATAATTTCTGTTGGCGGTAAACTGTATATTGTGATGCCAAGATACACTCTACATAATTATACCAAAATCGGGTGAGGCATTATGGTGTTATTAGACCTTCAATGACTTCACATGTAACATTACATACATAGGATTAGTAATACTTTTCACACCCCCGTCGTGTCGCATCGCATATTAACATTACCTCTTGTCTTTTATTACAAAGCTACATCTGTGATTATTTATGACCAGAGCAAGCTATTTGCGGATATCGTAAAGTTACATTAAGTATGACACTCGGTAATTAAGACAAAATATAATTAGAAAGACACTATTTAAAGTTTTGGACCATGATGACTATACATCGACATGAAATACATAAATAAACCTAGTACAGTGGCATGTAGAACAAGTTAAAATGCGTTAATAAACAGAGTATATCTAATATTTCACAATAAGAAAAGTGGGCTTACATGTAAGTATCCTCTATACAAAACTAATGTTTTGTGAATTGAGGCAGCGGATACCAAGGCACTCTGCACATGCTTGCGAGCATTCCAGTCCGTGTTTCCAACAGAAGCAGCGTCGAGTGTCACAGTGGTCCTTGCAGGTACATAGCACAATTTTCAGAAGGTCTGGTGAAGTTGCCGACAAGGTGGTCAGGATGAGAACATAATGTCCATCCTTATATTTCCACCCCCATTCTACGGGATTAAGCGTATCATTTCTCATCCACTGTTGCACCTGAAGATACACTCTTAGACTAAGATACTTAGCAGCAGCTAATGTCGGAGGGAGTGAACGCGCCTGTATAAATGTTGATGCTGTTGCAACTTTTGTGCAGAAGATACTATGGCGTAGTTCATCAAGACTTTCTTCTGGTTTTCCATTGTACAGAAGCACAAGGGCTTTCTCGCCTGAAGCAGCAACCCTTTGGGCAGATTGGTTTGTCATAAAATCTGTACTTTTAAGCTTCTAAGAGAATCATTTTGTAGGAACTTTTTCAAAGCAATGTCTTTCCCGATACCGAATGGTCTTGAGGTGGTGTCACAGCCAGTAAGGGAAAGGAGAAAGAGCAGAGAATGTCGAAATGCCCCCGTTTGAATGAATAATTGTTTAATATCCAATTGCTTCACTTTTAAGCTGGGATGTTTTTGTTTGAGTAGAAATAGATGTCATGAGCATGTTCATCAGCATAATGTGCTAACAGAAGGAGAAGAGTATCTTCTCCTAGTACAGCGGTATCTTTGTGCTGCGCACACTTGATTGCTGTTTGGACAATCTTAAGGTCAGCATCACATTCACCGTAAATGACAATGTGTCCTCTGTCTTCAAGCACTGACCCGAGGGCATTGATAAAACGTTGCTTGTTTTGTTTGTTGACAAGGAAAAGATCCTAAAAAGATCATTAAAAGATTGGAGAACCATTTATAACTTAAAATGAAAAGCTTGTCTTGTAATTCCTTTAGCTCTTTTGAGCCGTGTCATATCTTTTGTTGACAGTCCAGACAAATATCCATTAAAAACAATTGCTGCGTTTGGATCATTCCTGCTGACATAGGAAGCATATTATGTATCGATAATACAAATGATGGTGCTCCCTCATTGCTAGGGAATGCGCTGCAGTAAAGTAAAGACCCTCCATCAAACGACGATCTGCAGGCTAGCTGGTGATGGCAGATCAGGCATAACCATTGTCCTTGATTTCCAAAGCTCTTCTAGCAGAGCTGATTTGTTGGATTGATGAAGGATATCTGCAGATTCAGACAATGAAGAGGGGTAGCTGCAAAGTTCGAGTTTAAAAATCTCTGTCTCGTCTTCATATTTTGAAGTTGCAGCTGTCACTAATCTCTGAAACAACAACTGAGAGTCAATAGTCACAGGGTCTTGGTGAGCCTTTAGAGCTGTCTTTGCGGTCATTACAACAACCTTGTCTTTTTTCTTCCACCTTCTATTTTGCTGAGAATAGTTCGACCAACATCTTGTGCTTTGCCAACGTAGACAGCTGTTTCTGCAACCATCCCCGTAACAAAATTTCTCGGACTAGCGTCTTCAACCAACGGATTTTTCTCATGAAGAAACTTGGTAACAGCCATCATATCCTGCGCATCCTTTACCGATCTCGATGGACTCGGTTCTTAGTGCGGTTCACTTGAGAGACGCAACGTGCCTGTCACTTTTTGAATGGCGTTATTTAGTTCTGCGCAAGCTGGTATTGACAGAAGCCATGTTGCTGTCTGTGATTAGCTGATTCCCATGCCTCTTGTCAGTCCCCCGGTTGATCTGACACTTCGCATTCATATTTGCTCAATGGCTAAATCTGAAGAATGTTCCTGCCTTAAAGTTAACGCGATCACTTCGACGAATTACGTGATGGCCGTTGAAAAAAACTCTTATAGATGTGAGGGTGAGTCTCTTCTAGCCTGTTCATCATCTGGAGGTACAAGTATGCTAATTGTGTGTATAAATGGTGTCCTGACGCACCTAGATAGGGCAACATTCTGTGAACAGTAGAAAGATGTAAAAGCCAGTTGCCCGCTCTCTCTGCTTTTAGAAACATCTTTAAGATGTCAACCATTGCCATATATTGAAGCTATACTTTGCTTGTTCTACTGATGAGAGTACCTGCATGATCTTCGACTTTCCTAGTCAAACCAAGAAGAAGTTCATTGCCCTTCAGATCATTGATAGACAACTCGTTTGCCATAACTTGTCTGTATAAAGTTAATAAAACCAGCAAGTCTTTATTCGATACCTGTGAATGAGGTGTTGCAGCATCATGTTTTGAAAAATATCTGGTTGAGAATAATTTTCACTTGAAGCTTCACGGCTAGACAGAGTATCTTCAACTTCAGGTGAAAAACCCAATGCACAGGAGGTAGCTCACTTCCGAATGAAGTGGTCCTAAACGCAGCAAACTGGAGCGGAGCTCACAGGTTTTAGGCTCTCCTTCGATGATTTTCAACGCTTTCCACCACAAATGTCGGTCAATTGTTATAATTGGTATTTTGTGGTGTTATTTTG